GGATGGCGGCCTCACTTATACAGGTGGTCCTCAATACACAGTACAGTTCAGCCTCGTTAGAGGACCGAGCAAATATAGAGCAGAGGGAGCAACGCAAAAGCACATTCAATGAAATCAGATAAGGGATAGAGAAACTAGGTTGGTAGTGCCAGACACTTATTAGGGATAATAGAAAATTGGGATTGTTCCTGAAAGATCCTTCCTAAAAGTTCTCTTATCCATCAGCTCGGTTGGAGAACGAGTTGATTTCATGGGCCTGAGGGAAGTGAGATCTGCGTCAGTAAAGAAGGAGCATTTGTCCTGCTGTTTATGGATTAGGAGCCCAAGGAAGGAGAGTGTGGAGCTCAGATAGGGGTGCGGGGGCAGAAAGAGAGAAAAAGGAACAGATGAGGCAGCAAGCCAAGGGCTGTAGGAAAAGATGCTGCCTCAGAGGAAAGAGGAGAAACAGGGAAGTCAGAATTTTCCTACTCATCTGTTTTGCCTGTGAGGCTAAAGATTCATAAATTTTTAATGGGAGATGAGAGCCTATAACAGAGAAGGAGGAGACGGGGTGTAGGGGGAGCTTTAGGAATATGACAAGTAATTAAATACAAGGGGGAAAAAAACAGTTGAACTAATGTCCACTAAGAAGAAAAAATGATCCAAGTTTCTAACCACTTGCGAGCATAAAATGAGATTAAATGTGAAAACATTTTGAAAGGCTAAAAGCATTATTCAGATGCAAGATGGGTTGTGTTGCTATATGAATTATAAGGAATACTGTTCAGAGGTCACGCCGATTACAGGAATAAACCCTGTAGCTTCTTTCCCTGCTATGATTGTTGCTTCTCTTTTTCAGGGCGGTCCAGCAGGAGACTTGGAGCAGATTGACAGTTATTTAGAAGCTTTGCTTAAAGAAGATAATCTCCTTTTCCAGAACACTTTAAATAAAGGAACTACAGATACAGGACAGAGTCTCCCTTTAGAAAAAAATGAAAGTACTTCTCAAAACTGAAAGTCAGAAAAGACATTCCCTTTTTAAAAATGCTAATAAGGAAAAGGAAGATTCTGTTAAAAAAATATTCCCCTTGTACTTGTTATTGTATACTTTAGAAATGCAGAGTGATTTACAATTTACACGTTTCCCAGTCCTATTCTCTATCTCATCTTATTCTTTCAGAAACTATTTCTAGAGTTCTCTAATTTTCATGTGAGATACTAAGAAAGATGGAAGTGTCATTTAGACTTAAATTTTGTTTTCACTTAAAAGTCTGTAAAAACTGGAAAACAGTGACTTTCAAAATCAATATGTAAAGAAGTACAGAATCACCTCCTCTTGAAACGTGTTGAAGAGACAGACAGACATGCCATGCCCTTTCTCCAGTAGAGGCAATACTCAGTAAAGCAGAAAATATAGATCCTAAAAACATTTTGAGTATAGTTTATATGATAATTTTAATTTTAAGTTATAGTGGAAGAACAATTCTAAGTATAATGTGAACACATATTACACATATGTAAGAATTGTGTTTTTACATTTATACATATATAAGGAATTGTGTTTTTACATTTTCCTTGATAACTATTTTGTTTGTTTGTTTAGTAATGTCTATAACTTTGGACAAAAACAATAAACATTTAATATTTGCTTGTGGAATTATATATTTTTAATTTCATGTACATACACATAGTATAAAATTCAGAACATGCGAAGTGGAATATGGTGAAGTCTTCATCCAGTGCTTGTCTTTAGCCATTAATTACTCTTAAGAGGCGTGCTTTTACCAGTTACTCGTGAATACATTCAAACACAATCAATGTACATAAAACCATATAAATCATTATGTAAATACAGATGTAATAGCTTCCAAAAGATGCTGTTGCTTTTTCCACTTAACATACCTTCAAGATCATTCCATATCAGGATCTGTATATGTAGAACTCTCATTATTTTTAACTGGTCCTTATTATTCCATTCCATTGGATGTACCAAAATTTACCTAACCATTCTCTTGTCATTGGATATTTACATTTTTTCCCATTCTTTTGGATTACATACACACAACAGTAAATATCCTTTTAAATATTCACATATGAATTTTATTATTAACATATATGGCCTAATAGCACATCATAAAAATTTTATTAATATATAATCCTATAGCAGTGTATGAGTGCCTGTTTCTTTGTACCTTAACCTATCCAGTGAATTATTAAACTTACTTATCTTGATCAAATAGGTGAAAAGTGGTATATCCTGTAGCTGGAATGTGTATTTATTATATTATAAGTAAGGTTGAACATCTTTTATTGTTTAAAATTCATTTGAATTTTTAAATTTGGACTTAGTCCATTTTTCTACTTGGTGGTATTTTGTTACTGATTTATAGAAACTACTTTCACATTAGGGAAATTATCTTTTTAATATATATATTACAAATATTTTATAATTTTTTATTTAAAAAACTTTTATGGTATTTTGAGCCATATAGGATTTTTTTAATTTTTGGCTTAATTTCCTTTCATTTATGGCATCAGGGTTTTGTAGTCATATTTAGAAAGAACTTTCCAATGCTAAAAATATAAAGAAATTCTACTTTGTTTTTTTTAATAATGATTTTAATAATTGGTAAATCTTTGATTCATTTAGAATTTATTTTGGTGTAAGGAGGTTAAAAATCCAACTGTGTGTGTTTCCAGGTAGCCACAGTATTTTTCCAAAATTATTCATTTTTACCCACCGATCTATAATGCCACCTTTATTGCATGTTAAATTCCTATCTGTATTTGGACCAAGTTCTTTAAAAAAAAACTGTTATTTTTCATTTATTATTCTGTCTTTTGTCATGTCAGACCCATGTTGTTTTGGTAGGGCTAGTCAATAATTTTATATTTCCAAATTTCCAGTGTATCCTTGCATATATTTAATTCTCATTCAAACTTAGATTTAGCTTTTTTAGTCACCCCTCAAATTTTATTTGTATTTTGCTGGGTTTGTGGTGATATTATACATTGAAATAAAGAGAATTGCCTTTTTTTTAATATCACATATTTCTACCCAAGACCAAACAAAATATGCCTTTCTACATGTTTAAATCTCCACTGGTGCCCTATATTGACATTTAAAATTTTTTCTTCAACTACATTTAGCACATTCTATTTCTATTTATTGTAATTAAGTAGATTTACTCTTTGACCATTATAAATGAAGCCCTTTTCCCATTATCTTATAACTGGTTAATGCTTTGTAGAGAAAGACTCCTGACATGGATATCCAATATAAGAATTATGCTATTTCTAATAGTTTTAAGTTTTTTTCTGTATCATTAAGTAATCATTATGCATTTTTTTAAAAAGCATAATCTTTATAAGAAGCACAGTTTCTGGATCTCAGGTTCTTGTATTCTTGACCTACACAAAGTTTTTCTTCTACCAGGAATTTTCTTGGTCCCTGGAAAACTTTCATTACCTTCCTCTGCCATCATCAGTATCCTTTACTCTAAATCTAAAAATTGGCAATTAATAAATGCTAATGGTGATAAGAAGTCAGACATTTAGAAAGAATCAAAAGAGGAACTTCCCTAGAGAATGATTTTTGAAGATTCTAATGGGATATTCTTCATATTTCCTAACGAAATAATCTCCAGGTCTGATTTCCCATTACCCCATCTTTCTTTTTACTCTGCATAAGAAATCTCATCTACTCTAATGATTTCAAATAATACTTCCAAATGAATAGGTTTCAAATTTCTAGACCTTATTGACCACTTGATATTTCACTCTAAATATGAAATAGAATTTTTTTATTGAAAGTCTACATCGGTACATTTGAAACAAAATTAATCATATTCACCCTAGCCATCCCTCCTTCCTGTCAAGGCAATTCATTTAAGCCAATGGCTCCCATTCTTAGGGAACCTTAAACAGGTAATCAGGACTAAGGAATAGGGACTAAGGCAAAGACCAGACATATGAACTGAGTCAGCGTTGGAATTGGAGGAAAAATGGAGTAAGTTTAGGAGAAAAGAAGCATACTTAGGACCAGATGACCCTAGATAGAAATAATGTAATTCTGTTACTCTTAAATATAGTTGGTAGCAAAATGGCTTGTAGACCACATGGGCAATTCAGTTCCATTACTGGAGCATGGATACAGTTTTAGACTCATTCACTCAGTTCTCAAGTCCACTACAATTGAAGTTTGGCTTGGACAAGATTAGCTTTGGAACTGGAGTAGAATAAAACTAGCAGATAGAGGGCATGAGTAGATGTAGACTGGAGAGACAGAAAAGAAAGAACAGCAGAAAACGAAAAAAAAGATAAGAACAATGCCAGAAGACATAGTCCAATATGCTCCTTTATCTGCAAACCACACTTTTCTGCCTACTACATTACAACATTTTTTTTTTTACTAATAATATGAGCATCTCTTACCCAATTATCTCTCCCGTACATAGACTTCCTTACAATTTAACCGTATTCAGAATGTATAATTTCTCCATGATTTAAAAAATGTTCTTCATCTAAATTTATCTTCACAATGTTTAAGTGTGAAAAAGGAAATACTTGTATTTTGTAGATAGGAAAACTGAGACTGGAGAATGTAAGTCATGTGTCAGTGTAGTTAAGAAGTGGTAAAGAAGCCTAGAACCCAGGCTTCCTGACTGCAACTCAAAGCTAGACCATTAGACCTCACTGTGTCACTCCATAATGTAGGCAGAATTTATGGCTAACAATATAACAAGGATTACCTTCTCTAAAATATTGCCTCTGCCCTTCACAGAAAATTGATTCTTTGAATAGCAAGGAAGCACAATCCTATATGTATGACTTAGTCTTAAAACTGTACAGATGAGTTAATCTCACTGGCTTTCTATTCTTATTTAGCCTGTAGTTGTAAGAGGTTTAGAGTAGCTTTCTAAGGGCATATGTTAGCTTCAAGTTTTAGTGAAGAGTGAGGAACTAAATACGGAGAGACCCTACGTGAAAACAACCTGAAAAAAGCTGTAGACTGTGTCACGATGGGAAATAATGAATCTACGGCTGGTGGTCAGACAGCAATTCCTGCTAAAGAGACCTATGTGTGGTACAAAAAATTTATGATGGAATATCCATCCGGCCTGCAAACACTGCATGAATTTAAGACACTCTTAGGTCTGCAAGGTCTGAATCAAAAAGCCAACCAACACGTTGATCAAGTCTATAATACCTTTGACATGAACAAGGTAAGATCTATTAATTTTCATTTGGCTGTGGTTCTGCATTTTCCCATTTAAAAATATAAAATAGCCTAAGGTAAATGTGTACATCCCACTGACTGAGGAGGTCTTCAGAGAACCCTAGCTTGTAGATAAGGGAGTTATTAAACACATTTAGCAATGACGGCATGAAAATAATTGGGAACTAGCCTCTGCCTTTGGAAATGTTCTGCATGTAGGGAATTAGTTTAAAAACCAAATTAAATCTCAGCATGGAATTCTAATGCTATCGTTTAAGCAAATCTAATAAGTGCAGATTGATTTATAAAGACTTTTCAAAGTATTTAATGCATTGGTGACATTTTATAGAAAAGCAAACAGGAATCTGCTTTTAAAAGTGTGATTGCATCTAGATTGGCAGATAAAATCAATACAAATTAGTCAACATGTTTTCGTGCTCAAATCAAAAGTTCATAATACTTTTTTTTCCATATCTGACCAACTTATTTTAGGGACAAATAAAACAATTTATAGTTTTAAATTCAGATAAATTTTTGTTTCTAAAGATCATCCCTCAACTATTGTTTTGAATTTACTCATTCCTGAGAAGATGCTGCACATTTAATTTCATGTCTTGAAAATATATGAAGATGAGAAAATATGGAATAGAAAAAGGAAGATTAAAAAAGTCACAATCTGAAATACTAGGCTAGTTTAGTTATTTTACCTATAGATCTGTATATTTCAAAATGTGCTGATGCCATCTAGAAGAAAAGGGAAGGAGGAAATACTACTTATAGAAAAACAAATGATTTTAGATGTTTGCATAATAGAAGAGAAAAAAGATAATTAACACAATTGAAACAATCGATTGTCCATCAGGATGTATGAAATCTAGCATAGCTCACTGAACCCTTTTCCAAAGCCAAACAGCAGATGGCTTAAAGGAAGGCAACAGCCAAGAACTGGGGAAAATTAAACCCATGCAAAATTAATGGCTATTTTAATCCTTTTAGCAATGTCAGGAGCATATTTCTTTTAGGACATTATTGTCTTTTGTTATTTGTTATCAAACATGAATTAAGCACTCACTGCCTGCTTAGCATGACCATGTTTTTCTCATAAATTTTACTTAGCATAGTTGCAAGTAAACAGAGCTCTACCCCCAAGGAGCTTACAAATCAATGGGGAAATGAGGAAGATTGAAGATTCTGCTTTTGTTTTTAGCTCTGAAATATGTTCCAATATGCTAGAGACTGAATGTGCCACCTCAAATTCATATGTTGAAATCTAAACCCTGATGTGATGGTATTTGGAAGTGAGGTCTTTGGGATGTGATCGGGTCATGAGGGCAGAGCCTACATGAATGGTATTAGTACTTTTTTATAAAAAGATCCCCAGATAGTTTCCTCAACCCTTCCCCCAAGAGAAGACACAGTGAGAAGATAGTTGTCTATGAACCAAGAAGTGGGCACTCACCAGACACTGAATCTGGACTTGATCTGGACTTCCCAGACTAAAGAACCGTGAGAAATAAATTTCTGTTGTTTATATACCCAGTCTATGATATTTTTGTTATAGCAGCCCGAACTAAGACAGGAGACTCTGTGCACATTGCATATCATCTCTTCTCCTCTCTGCCTATTGTCTATGTACATATCTTTCAGTGCACTCCCGCTCTTGCGCTCTCTCGCTCTCTCGCTCCCCCATCCCCAACATTCTTTGTTTCATTCTGTGTGTAGCTGCCCCTGTCCCACTGTGCCTGCTATATACAATCCAATTTCACAATTGAAGTCTGTTGTTCTAGACAGCAGCTTCTCAGGCTCTGACAGTGTTCCTGAGAGGTTAGAAGATGAGCTATCATCAAGTTCTTTAGGTAATCTCCAAAAGTGTTGATGTCCTATCCCAGGACAGCGATTTTGTTGTTAGCCCGATGTTTGTGAAAGCACTGTGCATGTCAGTGGTTCATATGCAAGAGCAAGAACATGTGAAAAGGAATGCTAGTTAGAAATAAGGAAATGCTGTCAGAATGAATCCGGCTGCCAGGGAAGCAGAGCCAAACAATGTCCAAACAGGGAGCCTGGGGCACGTGTGCTGTTGTAGAGAGAATCCTCTTGGTGACAATCATGGAATGGTCAAGCCCATCTCAGGAGCTTAATTTAAATGACTTGGAAGTTCCATTGGTATCCATGATTCATCACAGAGATTTCGTGTTTGCTTAGGAAGCAAATGAACCTAGGCAGTGATGACGAATGCCACCAAAGGTGTGGGGATCTTAACATAAAATTAGGTCATAAAATGAGAAGGGCAAGGATTTTTCATTATCAAGTGGTAGTAAAAAATAATATGCAATTATACACAAGGAAAAAAAAGCAATATATTTAATTAGATCAATAAAACTATCAGCTGTCCAGAATCCCAGAGGATTTACTCTTTCTAGTGGAGCTTCTCTGTAGTTTTAACTATTCCGGATGGAAATCTTTTTAAATGCATTTCATGCTTTCTGGCCTCCTCAAAGTTGCCAGTATTTTCTTAATATTGCTTATTATTATGAACGTTGTTTGTAACATTTATGAAATACCATGAAGCACCTATGCTTATTGAAATTGCTGGGGCTAACTTTCTTAATGTTAAAAATCTTGAAAATACATGCTTTTATTGTGTTGCTTTTTACTGTTTTTCTGTCTTTTTTCTTGCTGTCAAATGCACCTTTCCCCACTTTATGATTGTTATAAAACTAATAAACTTCCAATCTCTTTTTACTCTGCCATTTCTAACCTGGCTTTGGCTTGTACTGACCTTAGCCAAGCTTATTAGAATAAAGCATAAAGTAAAAGTAAATAGATCCCAAAGTTTAGAGTATACTCTTTATAACAATTCCTTTGACTAACCACACACCTTTTCAGGCCTCTCCTTGACACTCAGTGACAATTTAATTAATGTTCTCTGAGAGCTTATAATGTTCCTGACACTGCTCTAGGCACAGTACACAAACTAAGGCATTCAATATCACATAATAGAACCTACTTTACAGTTGGCACCTCAGACCACCAGGGAGGACAGTTAATTGGCCACAGCCCTGGGTCCATCACTTTGAGATCCATCACTGTGTTTGTGCTGAATCCGTGTCTGGGTTTAGATTACTACCGATGATTGAGTGCAGCAGAAATAATAAGGCCAGGCCAGTTCATTTCTAAGAGACAGAGGACTCCTTTGCCAGCTGACTTTGGCTCAAGGATTCCCTTGCAGCTTTTCCAAACCATAGATTTCAGGAGTATCTAGGACATGTCTGTCCAATCTTCTCTCACGCTCTTCTTCTCCTGGGTCAGACTAGCATGTCAGTCAGACATCTTTCCCGACATGCCCTGACTTCCATTTCCTTCCACACAGAATCTCTCCAAGTAAAATTCTTAAATTGGGATTAATAGGTCTAATAGTCTATGAATAAGAGTCATAGAAAAATAGCTCAGAAAAAAATGTAAGATTATAACAAAACAAACCAGAAAAATTTCCCATCAGACACATTCCACAAGGGCCCAACGCAGTAAATAGAAAAAGATCAATCTACAGCATGTGATGAGAAATTTTGTAACAACAGGAATAAAGAGAAAATCCTAAAATCTTCCAAAAAAAGGTCAAAATAGAAATCAAAATAGCCTTGAGCTTCTAACAGGAGACTAGAAGTATAAGCAAATGGAGAAATGCCTCCTAAATCCTGAAAGGAAAGTATCAACCAGGTGCTGCACTAAAAAGAGGGAATCTGTCAACAAAGAGGGACAGAGAGAGTCCAATGTAGGAAAACAGATATGGTCAATGTAGGATCACAGAGAAGGAAAGTTCAGACCAATAGCTATGCAGAAAGCCCCATGAGCTGCTGATCCAGCTGGAAAAGGAAGAAGCAGGGTTTGAGAGGAAGACCTGAAAAGATTACTGATGGATTATCTACTATATTTCAGGATTTCATTTGATCTTAGCCAAAAGGCCGAGAAGTGATATATATTTGAAGATTTCAAAAACTATTAATTGATATTTAACCAATCTGATGGCTAAGTACAGGAAAACTATTGAAATTTAAAATGAAGCAACTTAAAATTTTTTTATTATGAAAATTTACACATTTACAAAAGTAGAGAATAATAACTCTTATTGACCCATCATCCATCTTCAACAATTATCAAAATTTTTTTACTTTTGTTTCATCTGTCTTCTTACATTTTTTCCTGTTTTTTAAAAAGAATAAAACAAACATTGTATGATCTTACCTGCAAATACTTCATTATTCATCTATAACAATAAGGACTCCTTTGAAATATAACTACTATGTCATTATCATACATAACAAAGGTGAAAATAACTACCTTTTTTCTTATTTTCAAAGTACAATTTCTCTTCTCATTTAAGTATAGTTAATACACAATATTATATTAGTTTCAGGTGTACAATATAGTGATTTGACATTTATATACCTTACAATGTGGTCACCACAGTAAGTCTAGTAGTCATCTGTCACTGTGCAAACTTATTACAATATTATTGACCATATTCTACTTCAGAAAGTGACAATAATTCCTAATGGCATGTAGTACCCAGTCAGTCTATGGGCAAAATTTCCAGGTTGTCTCAAGCATACTTTTTTGTTTTGTTTTGATTTGAGTTTAAATTCAAACAAGCTTCATAAATGGGTATTGGTGGTTATGACCCTTAAGTCTGTTTTATTTCTACAATAGTTTCCTAACTACCTTCTTCCCCCTATTTATATATCACTGATTGCTAGGGAAAGTGAATCATTGGTTCTATAGAATATCCTGTACTCTAGATTTAGTTGATTGCTTTCTTGTTGTGTCATTAACTTGCTTTCTATTCTTCATATTATCCACAAATTGGTTTTTAGGTATAGAAGCTCAAATACACTCAGATTCATTTGTTTGCCAAGAATACTTCATAAGCACATAATTACTGGTTGTCTCATTTTTCACAGATTGTCCATTAGGTTCAGGAGACATTAGCCTGATAACAAAGCAATTGTT